AATGCAATGCGCAACCCCCCCAGGGCGCATGTGTACATGACAACCGCTCCCCCCCATTTTTTGGATGCTTTTTTCACCCTCCCCAAGCTCCAGAGGCTTTATAGGAGCCTGGGGAGGGTGAAAACAGCCCCCCCATAGGCCCTCTGGAGGCTTCAGGAGCGCAAAGAAACGGCCCTACGGGCAAACCGGAAGTTCGGGAATGGACTTTGCTCGTAGGGCCGGTTTAAGCCCTCCGGAGCCTTCAGAGGTCTTTCGGAGGCTTCCCTGAAGGCTCCGGAGGACTAAAAACGGCCCTATGAGCAAACTGGAAGTGACTTTTGCGCTCCAGAGGCTTCAGGGAAGCTCCTGAAGCCTCCAGAGGACCTCGGGGGGGGGGGGAGGCTGTTTTCGCCCTCCCCAGGCTCCTATAAAGCCTCTGGAGCCTGGGGAGGGCGAAAAATGGCTTTAAAAAAGGCTGAACCCAAGATGGCCAGCACGCATGCCTCTGTGACAAATGGCTCCGCGGGTCACCTGTGGCACGCGGGCCACAGCTTCACCATCCCAGGTATAGGGCTTCCTGCCTGAACCGCGGGTTGGACTAGAAGTTCCCTTCCAACTTTGTTATTCTAATAAAATAATAAAATGAAATGAAATAAAATAAAAATAAAAGTCAATCTAATCCAGCTCTTTCTGAATGTCAGGCTCTTGCCCCACACAAAATTGCTTTATGACAGGATAGAAAATTATCAGTACTGTCTGTTATGTGAGGACAACGAGGTTCTGAATCACACTTGAAGTGGGAAAATCCAAAGTTATGAATCAGACTTGAACTGGGAAAATCCTCCTAAATTCTCAGACTTAAAAATAAGCCAGGAAAATTATTTTTATACCAGATCCATTTAGATATCTACCACATCCTGTATTAATTGGCAATAGTTCTGCAGGATCTCAAGGTGGCAACTTGCCCTCTCTCTTTAAATTCTTGTTACAATTCTTCTAATTAAAGATGTTTATGATCCAAGCTGTGTTTTTTTTCCACAGAAAATGTATCCTTTTGCCATTCAGAGGAGCAGAAAACGGTTCCACCACAAAACCGCGCTCGACTAAAGCGCGCTCGACGAAACCGCGTACCTGACGTCATCACAGCGCGATGGAAAAAGCATGCTGTGAGCGCTAAACCTAAAATTAACCCCTAAACCTAAACCTAACCCCCCGAAACCTAACCCTAAACCTAACNGTTGTTTAAAGCAGTGTTTTTCAACCACTGTGCCGCGGCACACTAGTGTGCCGTGACATAGTGTAAGGTGTGCCGTGGGAGAATTACTTTATATATAGTCAATATAGGCACAGAGTTAAATTTTTTTAACATTTTCTAATGGTGGTGTGCCTCGTGATTTTTTTCATGAAAAAAGTGTGCCTTTGCACAAAAAAGGTTGAAAAACACTGGTTTAAAGAACCGCTGCAGTTGTTACGTTAGTGCCATGATTGTAGAGCAGGGGTGTCAAGCACAAGGCCCGCGGGCCAGATTGTGGTCAGATCTAGCCCACTGTGGGGATGCTGCAGAGGTTGTAAGTGTGAAAAATGGTCATGTCACTTTTTTTTTGGTAGCATTGTAACTTCAAACGGTCAAAACACAAATGGTACAGAAATTTTCACTCTACTGCTACCAACTGTAATATTCTACACCTTGCTGGTAGAACTAATCGTAAAATTGTGCTTAAAAAGAAGGTAAGGATTCTAAGGGACCTGCACAAATTGTGGAATTACATCTCACGGGATTTAACTGTTTGCAATTCTGACCAGCACTGACGTGTGTTCAGACAGTGATAGTTAACCTTTTCGGCACTGTGTGCCAAAACTGGAGCATGTGCGCATGCACACACATGAATGTGCTCCAGTTTTGGCACTAGGTGCTGAAATGATTTAACCATCACTGCTTTAGAATATGATTGAAATAGAGAAACAGAAATAGAGACTGAAATAGAGAGATCTTGAAGACCAGTTGTGCATGCGCGCGACAGAACTCAGAAGAACAGCTGGCGAGGGCGCACGTGCCCAGAGGGAGGGCTCTGCGTACCCCCTCTGGCATGCATGCCATAGGTCCGCCATCATGGTGTTAGAATATAACAACCTAAGGACAACCACAGGTTCTGAAATCTGAACTAGAGTGAACGCATGCTAAACTCTGCTAACTAAATGCCTATAGTTCAAGAAATGCTTGACTTTCAATTAATCAGAATAGAGCTGGAAGGGACCTTGAAGGTCTTCTAGTCCAACCTCCCAGCTCAAACAGGAGACTATACCATTTCAGATGGGCATTTGTCCATGTTGTATCCCTTCCCCTTTGTTGATTTCATCTATCTCCAGTCTACAACACAGTCCTTTCAGCAGTTCCAAGAAGGCTCCACACCCAGTTGCACCACTCAGGCGACCCTGAGGACAGAGATAAACCTCCAAGTGGCCTCAACGACTCTCTTAAAAGGATGCAAATGACCAGCTGTCTGCAAGGAGTATCAATCTTTCCCTTCCCCACCATCCGGTCAGAACTGAAGAAGCTTCTTGGATGAGATGTGAAATGTCTTCACAGAAAAAAAAAAACAAGAAAGTCCTGTAGGGACAATTGTCCCCTCTTGGGACAATCATAAGTCACTTTTTTCAATGCCTTTGTAACTTTGAACAGTCATTAAATGAATGGTCGAAAATTTAGTTGGCTTTTTGGGGGGGGTGTTACCTATTAGTATTATGGAATAGTTTTGATCAGCTGATACGAGTCTTTTTCTTTCATTTTGAATAGTTAGTCCTCAACTTACAACAGTTCATTTAATGACTTCAAAGTTACGGCACTGAAAAAACTGATTTATGACCGTTGTTCAGACGCTTGGCAAGGGACTCATGTTTATGAAAAATGGGGCAAAACTCACTTAACACTGACTCACTTAGTAACAAAAATCTGGGGCTCAGTTGTGGTTGTAGGCTGAGAGCTACCTGTGTAATGTTTTTTTTTATAATACACAACTATACAATCAAGCATTTAACTTAGCCCTGCATTTCATTGACCTGTTTTGCACAATGCAAAAATAATGAGTCAACGTTTCTCACGCATCAGAAATGTCCATTTTAATCAGGCTTTGGCTCCATATGCTTTCTTATGACACAGCCCTCCACGTATGAGGAGGAGGAAAGAAGGAAGAGAGGGGGAAAAAACAAGCAAAACGTAATTATAGCAAAAAGTCCCACGTTTCCAACTCATAAATCATACCCTTTACGGTTTGTCTGATTTCATTGCACAAACACACAATTTCATTTCTTGTTTAAAGAGGGCTTTTAACCTTCCCACCCACACTTTCCTTTCAAAAAAAAAAAAAGAAAGAATAAAATAAAGCAGCTTCTCTTCTTGTGTTTCATAGATTAACGGGAGGCACTTCAAAAATAAAATAAAATAAAAACTCGCTGTTGCTCTGCCCCCAACCGTTAACAGATCCCTTTGAAGGCCATCTAAATGGGATACTCCATTTGCAAGTAACACTTTGGTAGTCAAAAGATCTGACTCAGAAGGGATTTTAATGCGAAACCACTCAGACTGGGAAGAGACACACCGTCAGAAACGAAGGGCTGAGAAGTGTTTCCAAGGCCCGTGTAACACCATTACGGAGGGTGTCGGCTTAGGAACTGTCATAAACACTTCATAATCACTCAGACACAAACCGGGCTTGCCCGGAGCACATTCGTTTTATTAAGTGCTGAATAGGTGTCCAGCTGAACAGAGAGCCAAAGTACAACACTACAGATAAAAGTGAATTTCGGGCGTGGGACTTTACACATGATACGGGGAGGGCAGCAGCTTGGCAGACATTTCCAAAGGGGAAAAGAAAAGAAAATCTTTCTAAATATAGAAATGTTAAGACGGAGGTAGCACAAGGCGGTTAAAGAGCACAATTACACAAGGGCGTGCCTTGAATCTTATCTTTCAGGAAGAGGAGCAGACTTCCTTGGTGGACATTCAATTCCCCCTACCCTCACCCCAGGGATAAACTGAAATTGTTTGGGCTGAAGCGCTCAGAGATAGAGGGATAGACTCAAGATCAAGGGAAGTGTTAATACCACTTTATAAGGCCTTGGTAAGGCCACACTTGGAATACGGCATCCAGTTTTGGTCGCAACGATGTAGAAAAGATGTGGAGACTCTAGAAAAAGTGCAGAGAAGAGGAACAAAGAGGAGGCTGAAACATACAAAAAACAGTTGCAGGAACTGGGGATGTCTAGTTTAATGAAAAGAAGGACTAGGGGAGACACGATAGCAGTCTTCCAATACCTCAGGGGTTGCCACAAAGAAGAGGGAGTCAAACTATTCTCCAAAGCACCTGAGGGCAGGACAAGAAGCAANAAGGATTTATATTCCTTGCAATCATCTGGTCATTAGCACTCTCTCCGAGAGTCCTTGAGGCCAGAGCTGAAGAAACTTCTTGGATGAGAAACAAAACGTCTTCAAGGAAAAACAAAGTCCAGAGGCCTTTTGAAAAAGCACTTTTGGGACAGCCATGAGAATCTCGATGACTGAGAGTCTCCGTACACAACTCCTTCACTCCAACGGTTGCTGGAATTGGGTAGGTCTAGTCTGATGAAAAGAAGGACTAGGGGAGACATGATAGCAGTCTTCCAATATCTCAGGGGTTGCTCCAAAGCCCCTGAAGGCAGGATAAGCAGCAATGGGTAGAAACTAACCAAGGAGAGAAGCAACCTGGAACTAAGGAGAAATTTCCTGACAATTAGAACGATTAACCCAGTGGAATGCCTTGCCTCCAGAAGTTTGAATGCTCCAACACTGGAAGTTTTTAAAAAGAGATTGGGCAAGCATTTGTCTGAAATGGTATAGGGTTTCCTGCCTAAGCAGGGGGTTGGACTAGAAGACCTCCAAGGTCCCTTCCAACTAGGTTATTCTATTCTATTCTGTTCTGTTCACTGAAATTCTGCTTGCTGTCCACTAACCTTTCCCTTTTCCTTCTCAGCTACGAGATACTTACAGGTATGCTCCATATCTGTATCCCGTCACTGTAGCCAATCATGAGCAGAAGAGGGGGCTCGTTCCCCGTGCTGTGCATCTCATGCAGCTCCACATTCCTTAACGTATCTAGAGGGGAAAAAAGAAGATCAGAAAAAGGAATCAAAGCCAGAATCACCAGACTAGGACAACGCTTCCATGGCGTCCAAAGAATTACTTTGGATAGCGGGATCGGTGGCATACAAATAAAACAAAACAAACCAAAACAAAACGAAATATTCCATTATCTCTAGAGAAATTAAGGGAGGAAAAACCCCATGTTATTTCATTAACTTGCCCATGCAAGGCTTTGACCCGCTACCGAAGGTACATGCAAACAACAAAAGCACGTGATCACCAGTTCTAACCCTCCAGCTGGCTTCCAACAAGCAATTGAGGGGAACCAAATGTCAAGCCTGAATTTGATCGGGTTGTGGGATGGTTTGTATTCTGCGTTATGCTAACATGAATTCAGTTTGACACAGTTTGAAGCAGAAAAAGGGGGAGGTGAGGGAAATGGGAATCTTCAGCCAAAACAGCATAGGTCGACCGATGAGTCAACTACATTCCAACGGCTGGCCAACCGGAGGAGGAGGAGTGAAGTCGCCAAGCAACCAGTTCTCATCCTGGTTGGACAATGTGACATATTGTTTGGAAAAATAAGAAACCCTTATGTGTCAGGCCTGCAAGCCATCTTTTCTTTTGGACCTGAGGCCTGCCACACTTTCTATTCTTCTACTATGCATTTTCTATGATGGGAAAATGGGAGGGGGGATTATACAGAGTTGTGTGATATGTAGCCATAACAAAATTCTTTCTAAAAAGCCAAGGTCATCTTTTGTCTCTGCATCTCTGCACCTGATCGAAACTGGATGGGTGGACTCTGCCTTTGTGGCAGTGGAAGGTTGGACCATGGGATGGGCTTGTGGGCAAGATCTTGAACTTTGAACTGGGTGGGAAAAACCGGGAAGCTTTCAGATTCGGGTTTTCCCAGATGTGCCAACATG